CACACGCAAGGGCCTAACACCTGACGAGGCCAATCGCAAGCCACCCTCACCGCGCCGCGTTTCTCACTCACACGCGAGATATAATAAGTGCAAATTGATTTCTGGATTGTCTGTGGATATTGATTTTTCTAATCGCATCCACATCACGCACAGGTAGTTGGCAGAAGCTATCGCTTCACCAACGCCATACCTGCTGAATCCATGGTCAACGGTACGCTAATAGCGACGACGGGCACTGCCTAGCACCGAGTGCGGACTGCGGACTCGCTGGCCTGGCCTTGACAACGCGAGTCGTTTCCCTCTTAGCGTCTCCTGAGTTGTTCGGCTTTCATACGACCTCTCTGCCCCTCGACGCACATTACTGTGTCGGAGTGAAGCTGGCAAACTACGGAAGGTAGTCGGACAACGGATGAGGATAGCAGTTGGCACCAGCCGCCACTGTAGTACGGATTTACCTCAGTCGCGTGACATGCCGTCAGGGCAATTTGCCGCCGTCTGTAGTGAGTGACGATGAAGTTACGCTGGACGGTTTCGACCATGCCTTCGGCAAAGCAGGTGGTGGATCGGCGAGCGTGCGTCGTTTGCTAATCAGCTTCCGACAATAGCTGCAGATTTAGCCTGTTATTTACACTCAGCACTTTACACACAGCGCATCTTTACCGATTCGACCGACTTACGGGCGGACGGGCGGGCGGGCACCAGCGTGCGCCTCGTGAAGGCATTAGCAGAGGTGACGTAGCGGAGGTGACGGCGGCGGCGGCGGCGGCGGCAGGACATCGTCAATGAGGAATCATCCATCTACCTGCCACACGAAAGAATAACAGGCACCGAGCACAGGCGCACACCGACGGACGGGGCAAAGCGGTTCTCAAACGGGGACACGTGATTAATACGCGATCAACAATCGTCAAGAACAGATTTATAAACATTTCTGGTGTTGCGAACCAAATTTGGACGGCGGATCGTCGTCGAACGCAAGGTTTCTCACAAAACTAGGCCATCGCCGTACGCCGATCCTGAAAGTGCGTATATTATAGCGCTGTCGGATGCACGACGGCCCCCGGAAACACGGTAAAATTGTGTACGTCGTCGACGCTTTACCGGTGCCGTTCCGATGCCGTCCCCTGAGCAGTAAATCTGGCCGAGTCAGCGGGCAAACGTGATCACGATTTGGCTTGCTTCTGCTCGAATGGGTTCGACATCCACTGCATCGTCGATCACGTCGCGTCCACCTGACTGATGCTCGTCCATTGTCGACAACGACTGAAGAATGCATGGTGATCAGCGATCGTCTGTGACGTCACCCCTCTCAAGAACTTTCGGGTAGAAGCAAAGTATGACACGCCAATTTATGGTCACACTTCAACGGAATGGCTTCCGAACCGAAGCATCACCAAAGCCGCACTAATAACCTGTCCGACCGAACGAACTGCCAGTAGTGAAATGCTGATTCCTCTCGAACACTTGTTGCAGACGTCGAAGCTCTGCGTCTAGGGCAGAAGCAATTTCGCCTGTT